CGATACGTTCATTATCTTCTGGTAGGGCTTGTGGTCTGGATGGGTTTGGAATAGATTTCTATAAATGTTATTTGGATCTGGTTGCCCCTCTTCTTCTGCGTATGGTGAACTCTTCAGTGGAGGAGGGAGTGTTTCCCCAGAGTTTGTATGATGCTCATATCTGCCTTCTCCTGAAGAAGGGCAGGGATTGCTCTAATGTTGCCTCATACCGTCCTTTAAGCTTACTAAATGGTGACCAAAAAAATAGTAGCCAAAGCATTAGCTACTCGTTTAAATAAACACATAGCTCATCTAATCCATCCCTATCAGACTGGCTTCATCCCTAACAGGTATTCCTTTTCAAACACTCGTCGACTCTTAAATGTTATGTACCAGACCAGCCTTCCAGTCTCTGCAGTTATTTCATTAGATGCTCAACAGGCATTCAACCAAATTGAATGGGACTATTTGTTTTTGGTTTTCCAAAAATTTGGCTTTGGCGATAAATTTATGACATCACTAAAAATGCTTTACGCTCAGCCCAAATCCTCAGTTCTGACTAATCACGACAGGTCTGCCTCATTTTTATTACATCGCGGAACCAGACAGGGGTGTTGTCTTTCACTGTTGCTATTTGCACTGGCCATGGAACCCTTGCTATTTCCATCAGGACCCATCCATTGATCACTGGCATTTCAGACGATGCTACAGATAGTCCCATTGGCCTGTATGCGGACGATGTTATCCTGACCCTTTCAGACGTTACAGTCTCTCTTTCTCCACTTCTTTCTCTTATAAATAAATTTGGCAAGCTTTCCGGTTTTACTATTAATTGGGATAAAAGTCTTTTTATGCCTCTTTCAGATGGTCTGGATGCTGCTTTTCTTAGCAACCTGCCATTCAAAGTTTCCACTAGTTATTTTGAGTATCTGGGGATAAATATCACAAGGGACCCTAAACTCCTTTTTAAACATAACTTTCTGGATTTAATCAACAAACTTAAATCTATGGTCGACTGGTGGAAGCTCCTTCCTCTTTCATTGATTGGCCTCGTCAATGTTGTCAAGATGGTGGTCCTCCCGAAATTTACCTATCTTTTTCAAAATATACCCATTTACCTCACTGCTTCCTTTTTTAAGATGATAGATTCCATTATAATCCCTTTTGTCTGGGCCGGTAAACATCCTCAAATATCAAAGTCTCACCTACAGAAACCTACTGCTGAGGGTGGTCTGGGCCTTCCTGTTTTTCGATATTATTACTGGGCATGTAATGCCAGATCCTGGGTTTTCTGGACTCATCTCTATTCGAGAGGTGAGGTGGTTGACACGTTATTACCCAAATGCCCGTTGAATGAAAACCTTGCATCCTTAGAACTTACTACTTCCTCCTTAGCTGCAGTATTGTTTTCCAATCTTTTTTGTCTTTTCAGTTGCTGAAGGATAATTTTATACTAAAAAATTCATTCATGATTTTGAAGCAGATAAAGACTGTCCTGAATCTCCCTGGTTTTTCCATCTATGCTCCGATTTGTCAGAACTCAGCATTTAAGCCAGGCAATATGGATGTAGTTTTTAAGCACTGGTTAAACAGGGGCATAGCTGCTGTTAAGGATTTAGACATCAATAATCACTTTGCTTCCTTCACTCAACTCCAATCAAAATTTGGTCTTCCTCCTAGCCATGTTTTCAGGTACTTGCAAGTTCGGAATTGTCAAACAGCACTTCCTCCACTATGAAACCAGTGCAGCATAGTTTCTGTGAGCTTATAAAAACAAGCCCCCTACCTCTGAAAAGCTAATTTCTCAATTTGTTAATCTTTTCAGTTCATCCCATCTACTAGGCATATAAAAGAGGCCTGGGCTTCTGATGCACTAGGTGAGATTTCAGATGAGCAATGGGATTTGAGTCTGTCGAGAATCAAAACCTGTTGATGTCAAAACAGGTTTGTCAAAACTTTGAACAGGTCAGAACCTGTTAATTAATTAATTAATTCTAGACTGCAACTTAATCATTTCAAAGTTATCCATCGGCTGCACTTTTCTAAAACTAAACTTAATAAGCTATTTCCCTGCGTCTCACCAAAATGCGACAAATGTAAATTAGATGATGAGACTTTGGGTTATCTGTTTTGCTCCTGCCCTAAACTTCTGGACTTCTGGTGCAGGATATTTGAATTTTATAGCAACGCTTATGCTAAGCTTCTGTGTCCGGATAGGCATTTGATAATTTTGGGTTGCTCTAAATCCTCTCTTACTCTTCCCATGTCTCTACAACAGTCTCTAATGTTTGGTTTAATGGTAGCAAAACGGGTTATTCTGTGGGAATGGAAATCCTCCACCCCGCCTTGTTTTAAGAAATGGCTTAATGACATGGTGTCCTGTGTCTGTCTTGAGGAAATTCAATACTTATTGTCTGACAATCATCAGAAGTTCCTTGATGTGTGGGGTCCTTTCAATAGATACATACAAAATAATGGGCTAAAATGTCTGTCATATTCATCTGGACTTGTATTTCTTTTAATTTATTTAATTTATTTATCTTTTCTTCGTTGTTATTTTTACTGTGATTATAATTTATTGTTTTCACCTTTTATTGATATTCCATGGTGAGCTGTTCGATACAATGTCCCAGAAATGTCTGCTGTTCGCTTGGACTCTGCTTGATTACACTCTACAGTCTGATCACATATTTTATCCTCTTATCAGACCTTCAGTTGGCTGACAGTGTTTTGACTGTTCTGTTTTGTTGATCTTTGTTTTTGTTGTTTTTGTTTATGTTTCTTCCTCTATCTTGGCTGTTTAACCTTGATAAATCATAAACAAATATATAAAAAAAAAGAAACTGTTACTTCTGCACATTCTTCCTTGTTCACTACAGAACTGAATGGCTGAACAGGATTCGGTTCAGTTTTTAACTTGGCCTCTTGAATTCTCTCTCTCTCCATCTGTTTTCTTTCCAGCTGAAAGAGTTCGACAGGAAAAGCTCAACATCGTGTGTGTGCCCACCTCCTTCCAGGTTAGTCAAAGTACCCAAAACACTCAAGTCTCACTTGACTCGGCAACGTGAACGCTCATGTGTTCACAAATGTTCTGAAGAAGTTGCCACACGATAACCATGTCTTGCTCAAAGGTTTCCACAGAGCAGTGTGGTTTAGAGTTAAACCTGCTACAATGACAAATATTGCAGGACGATAAATTATCCCAGACATGATTACAATGTTGTTTTGAGACCGTTTCCAAGTAATATATTGATCATGGCATAATAATCCAGGTTGTCCCTCAAAAACTGTTTTAGATAAACTTTAGTTTTGTAGAAAACACTGCAAGATGTTTTAAATATCCAGAAAAAAACACAACAACCAGAAACAATCAATGAAAAAGAAACGAAGCCCCCACACAACAGAAACCGTAAATAAAATAGATTATAACGCCTCTGAAAACAAAAATGTCCTTCAAAAGATATGAATCATCAGAATGAAAATGATTGAGCTAATTTTAATTCATCATGTGATTAACTCTGCAGAGTTTAGACTCATTATTTTCTGGTATTAATCTTCCACAGTGGGTGACATGGTGTAATCTAATCATTGTTAAAATTGTTTATAGTAAAGCTGCACCGATTGCAACTTTCTGGCCGATCACTGATATTTATAAAAGCTGGCCAGCCCATTCTGATTTTGGGGCGGTACCAATATTTCTTTTTCTTTTTCCTGAAAAGTAGCTAAATATTGCGACAAAGTTGCTGAGTTGGCAACCTCACACATGCAGTCATGACGTCTGTCAGTCTGCCCTCTCTCACAGCAGGGTCTTATTTTCAGACCTTTGCTGAAACAGACGGTCAGTTTCGCGTAACTAACAGCCGATCGACAGTCTGCCACATTGAATTTTGTCGGTGCAGCTCCTCATCCTGGACCGATTTTATCTTCAGTCATGGATGTGAGGACAATAAAATCCCATGGTTAATTAAAGCAGGATCAAAAACAAGAGGACATTACTTTCTTCTCCATCGTTGATGAAACAGCTGCTGTGTGTTCATCTCTACGCTTTCTGAGTTTAGCAGCACAGCTCCTCGGTGAACTCAAACCGATGCTCTCTCTCCTCCCTCAGGCTCGACAGCTGATCCTGCAGCACGGCCTGGCGCTGTCGGACCTGGAAAGACACCCAGAGGTACGATGAGTGTTGGCATTATGCCGGTGGAAGCCAAACGTGGCGGTAACGGTGCGTTTCCTGTGCTCAGCTGGACGTGGCGATCGACGGCGCAGACGAAGTGGACGCTCAGCTCACGCTGATTAAAGGCGGCGGGTGAGCGTGTTCTGCCGCGGACGGCTCGGCTCGAGGCCCCGCCGACCTTTCTGACCCGTCCTCTCTCCGTTTTGCAGCGGCTGCCTCACTCAGGAGAAGATTGTCGCCGGCAACTCGAAATGTTTCGTCGTCATTGCTGACTACAGGTCTGCATCGGCTAGTGAGAGTGGTGGGAATATTTTTTCCAGTTTTTAAAAACGCTTGGCTCACGGAATTTTTTTTTTACGTCCCAGAAAGGATTCCAGTGTTCTGGGGGAGCAGTGGAAGAAGGGCGTTCCCATCGAGGTCATCCCCATGGCGTACGTTCCCGTCTCCAGGGTGATAGCTAAGCGCTTTGGAGGGGAGGTCAATTTAAGGATGGCGGTCAGTAAAGCTGTAAGTAGAAGTACTTTTCTTGTTGTTTTCACATGAGTTCTTTAGGTGCTGTTGATGTTTAATTCTCAGCATAAGGTTCCAAATTATTTCTGGAGTTTAGGTTCTGTTAAGAACCTCAGTTCAGTTTTGAGTCACAATTTGATTCGATTTTGATTCAGTATTTAGTTAGATTTGGTGGAACACAAATAATCCATTGGAATACGTCTTTTCATGAATTATTTTCTCATTTTTCCTGCCCAGGTTACGCTCCATCCTTTGCTGGTTGTTTAACCCCAGGAATAAACCTGATCCTCTTTCATCTCTGTGCTCACTATTGTTTTTTTCAGGGTTTTTTTTTTTTTTAACATTATTTAAAAGAAATCTTTATTGTCACAATAGAAAGAGCAAAGTCAGGGAGGAGACATTAGATCAGAGGCCAGCAGCAGGGACGATGATGATGATGATGATGATGATGATGATGATGAAGGGTCTTCTGAGGTAAGGACAGATTATGACCAGGCAGGTTTCAGAACAGGAGGCTGACAGGAAATTCAGAATTAATCCAGAATATTTGTATTAGCATAGATGACATACTGTCATATTTTACATTTAAAGAAATAGACTAAAGATATTTAATAAGCTTCTGACATTTCTGCAGCATAAGAGCTAAAACATATGCTAATCTGAGCGTCATTAGCATTTTCCTCTTGTATTAATAAACATGATAAATTCCTCTGGAGCCAGGTCTGGCTTAGCTTATCTGATGTGGAATCATCAAGGATTCTACACATCCAAATATTCAGATGATGTGATTTCTGCTTTTAAACGGCCTGATCCTCAGCCAGACTCTGAACCTGGACACATGAACAGCTGAGTCCATTGTAGGTGACATGTTTACTTTTAGCAAATGGGAATAATAGTCATAGAAAAAGTGGGGAAACTTTATGTGCTATTAATGGATTTTATCAATTAATCAAATTTTCTGTTTATAAAGATTAAACTTCTGGAAAATGTGTTGTTTTTTTTCCCTCTCTTTGGGTTTGTGTAGTTTTTAGTGATGTCCACCATCTTGTTTTACAGCGTGTATTTATTTGGACTTCAGATCAACTTCCAGAAGGGATGTTGAAATGAAAGCAAGTTTAGAAAATATTTTGTCATTTGCAATTTGTTTTTGAGGAAAAAAAAGGGGGGAACAAAAACAATTGCGATTTTCTTTATTTTTTTACTTAAACTCCAAAATCGAGCAGCGGTGGTACACTGATGTCACTGTCCTCAGTGATGATCGGAATTTTTCAAAGTGTTTCCAGCTGATTTGGTACAGAGCCCTGCTTTGTTTACATCATAACATTTATGGCCCAGTGGTTCAGCTGCTGTCTGTCAGCTGGCAGCTTCTAGCGGTCGCCCTGCGGTCGAGGTCAGACACGCCCAGAGACCCGGGTTAGGCGACACAGTCGGGCTTTCTCTGCTCCTTTCGCTCTGACCGGAACCAGGCCGTGTGCTTTCTGGCTTGCAGGGTCCCGTCGTCACTGACAACAGCAACTTCATCCTGGACTGGAAGTTTGAGGACGTCCAGAACTGGAGCGAGGTCAACACTGCCATCAAGATGATTCCCGGTGAGGAACGCTGGTCACATCAAATCCACAGAAACGTTGCTTCATGCACAGAGTGAACGTTGAAAATATTTAGATTTCTGATGGCACTGAAAAGGTTTTCGTGTCGTAGGTGTGGTGGAGACGGGGCTCTTCGTCAACATGGCCGAACGGGCGTACTTTGGGATGGAAGATGGAAGCGTGAAGGTTCGGAAGGCTCCCGCCAACTAATGAGCTGGCCACAGGCTCCGCCCACAAAGTGCCACGCTCACAACCCGACCCCAGCTACAGAGAAGCTCACTTTTACCTCGCAAAATAAGTTACTTTCACATTCAGAAGGTGCTGCTTCTGATTTTATGTTTTTTAAGTGCCTGATGAGAAAAAAGCCAGCTGGCAGATTTTACTGTTGGAGGAGTTTGACTGAACGGCTGCAGAACTGGGTTTTAAAGCTGACCGGGTCACCAGAGTTCAGCTGAATAAAGCAAAGCTGTTCCTTTTGATTTTAAAATGACATTTAAAAAGCTTAACTGCATGTGTGGCGTTAGTGTGATTATAAAAAATACACAAATAACACAGATCAGAGTTCAAGGATTAAGCAGTCAGGTTTGAACTTTTAGATTCAGCTACGTTCAATCTATCAAAACAAACTGATGTACCATACAGAGCAAAGGTGAGCAGTAAAACATTCCCTCTAAAAGCAGAAACGACACATCCTTCTGAGAAGCTAAACGTTCAACAAGAACACTTTGTGGCTCATTTTCCATATCCTTGTCAAAAGGAAAAGAGAGAAGGTAGCAGAAGTTGAAAAGGTTTAGAAAATGCTGGTGGTTTCCTCCTGGGTTGCATCATCTCCTCTTGCAGCTGGTTAGTCGAGTCAGCTGAGAAGCTTGTAACTTCATGGTTTGCCACATAAACTCTCTATTATTAAATTTTTTTGTGCCTGTGACAAACTTCCGTTACAGTTTCTCCTCACACCAGGCGTCTGGAAGCAGGGAGTCTTGTGCCAGAAGCTCATTTTAAAAACAAAACCCAGTGATGATGGTGATTAATTTAAATAAGACAACAACCTTCCAAAACAAATATAGTGGGCAAATCTCAAAAAATGAGATTTGCGCTGCTGCTTTGATCATTCAAATAAATCAAGTTGCCTCTAAAAAGTTCTATTTTTTTTCTCCTTTATAGGCATTTTTTTTTAAAGAAATAAATGGTACAGTAGGATTTTCTACATACTAGATTGCTGTCATAGGTTGCATCTGTTGTAAATTGGTGATACAGTGCCTCATACTGTAATTTGATGCTTGAATATGTATCTTTCTAACTGTGGGAGACTGAAAACGTCACATCCTGGCTAATATGATACCAATAAGACGTTTTTCAGTTTCCAAAAAGCCACTGTTGAATTGAAACTGTGAAAGTTGTCTTTGTGACTCTGCGGTACGTCAATAAAGTTTCTAAAGTGAAAAGCTATGTTCTAAAAACATAATGAACAAAAACTACACTGTGCATGAATACTTTTGCACCAGCAACTTTTTTAACAAGTTGACTGTGATTTTTTTTTTTTTTTTTTTTTTTTTTTTTTTTTTTTCTTTTTACCCACAAAAGGACCAAATTATAACCCATGCTTGTTTTATGTCTAAACTGTTGGAACATAACTTGCTCTAATAAAAGTTGAGTGTGAAAAATGTTTCATGATCCAAATAATTATGGTTATTCATGTTTGTTGAAGTTTTTTATTGTGAAAATGAGCTGAGATGAATAAAATGTTACATCAGACAGGCTTTAAAGCATTTTCAGCATATTGTAAAGTTCACTACTTGTCTTTTAACTAAAAATAATGGAGTTACAGAATAAAACGTATTTAAAAAGTGCAGTAAGTGTATATTTTACCTTGATTAAATTATGATTTATAACAAAACAGAAAAACTTGCCAGTAAGGCTCTGTAGATGCTCTACAGAAGTCTGACAAGCAGATTTTAGATTGAATATCGCTCTTTGACCAGGAGGTGGTGCTAGAAACGCAAACTTCACAGTTGGCAGCGAACAGCTCACTTTTATATACAGCAACTCACTGAAGTCACTCAAAACCAAAAGTAGCTTTCCTGATTAAATTTATATAAAGTGGCGGCGGAGGCATTAAGTAATGCAGGTATTACGTCACTACACTTTGTTTATTTAGAGAAACAACTCGTGACCAGGAACAGGAACTGTACCGCTTTATACCTTAAGCCACGTTGAAGATTTCATGTTGACTGGTCCTGACAACCACGCTGAGTGATGTCTTAATGAACCAATCCAGCTCATCCAAGATGTCCGAATCAACCAATGGCATCGTTGCTTCTCGAAACGACCTGTCTATTTGACGGAAAGCCACACATCCGACCAACCGGCGACCCTCAGCAGGAACTGCCATCAGGGACTTTTTTGCGTCAGCTCTGACAGGACGCCTGCGTCTACGTAACAGACAGCAAATCAGCCAATGCCAGTCACTGTTTGGGGGGGCTGGTATGCTCTGAGCCCTCCCCTTTGACTGACGAATACCTAATCCAATCAGATTCTGCTTAGTGTGCGAGGACACGTGATTGGCAGTAAATTGTGCAATGAGAGAATAGTACTTTAAATGTGAAAGCAAGAATGATTTTTAGTGTCCAATCCTAGTGTAGAAACAAGGCGGGATTTAGGGTAACCAAGGCAAGACTCAGTCTAGTATAAAGGGAATAACATGGTGTCCCAGAGGCTGTTTATGTTTACTTAAAGAACACGTTCAAGTGGGGCGTATTTCCAGACACAGCAAATATTTTTATATCGTTTCAGTTTTTTTACACTTTCTTTATTTTCATGTTCAGATTTACTTGCTTAGTGGCATGTAAATCAGCTACTTTACTAATGTGCCAGTCTTACAAATGGAAAGGGGGCTTCACTTTGGAAGCGTGAGCATTACCCTGGTGCTCCTGCTGCTGCTGAAAGCGCTCATAGGTTTCGGGACTTCGGAAGCTCAGGGCTCCGCCACCGGACTGGAGCCGGGGTCCGACAGCCGGGGTTCGGCGGCGACCTCGGGAGAACATGGTGCCACCGCGGCCGTGGAGGAGCTCTGCATGGAGAACACGGGCAACGCGATCACTGGAGCTGACGTTACGGTGGAGGACGATGAGAACTGGTCTGCAGGGGAGGCCGAAGAATCCCGGGGAGAAAGTGACGGAACTGTTCGACCTACGAGGTAATTACAGTACGAATGCATATAGAGCGACACAGCTAGTAGCTTGAAACCCATTATCGGACACTGTCGTTTAAGACGTGGAAACATATGCTATTTTCAGTGTGACACATAAGCTTGTTCATATTTAAAGCTAAACAAAGATAAAATGTTGAAATAAAAAAGCTAAAATAACCATTTATTGTGTTTGACACACTTTTGGAGTATCCTTCCGCCATAGTGCTGCACAGAAGTTATTGTTTATCTGGTAATGCTTCATTGACTCATAAACTGCTATTTAATTTCCAATTTTACTGTATAATTTATCAGTCATTTTGAAAATGTGTTGAGAACCAAACGACTAAAGACTGATAAAATATGCCAGCAGACTGTCAAGGATGAAAACTGAGATATCGCGATGTTGACAAGTGTGTCCGAAAATGGGTTTCGGGAGTCTTTGGATAAAATTGCGTAAATATAACTGCACCGTTTGGGTTGCCATTCGTTTGGGGTTAGCTAGTCGTTATTCTTTATATATATTCACAAGTAATATAAGTTTTGTTTTTAAGTTTGGCGTCTCAGGACAGTACACGCTTCATCCTTTCGATCAGAAACATGAAATTGAAAGTTCTTCTGCAGTCTGCCGAAGGCGTGTTTGCAACAGTGAACTGGAAAGTGTGTATAGAGCGCCAGTAGTGCCGCAATGTTGCATGTCAATAATTTTTTTCCACGAACAAAAATTAAACTTGAAATAAATGCATATGTTAGATATATAATATATCTAACATGTGATATCTGTGCATAATTATTCCAAGAAATAAGTTATATGGCCAGTCAGATCTGACTAGTTAACATGCAAAACAAGTAAAATTCAGACCAAATACTTTGACAAGTGTAATGTTAGCCCTGCTCACAGAGGTTTCCAGACATTGTTCACAGATTCATAGATTGCTCATAGAAATAAATAGTCACATAATCTTGCTTTTTTGAATATAGTACATTTTCTTTTGTTGGATATATTTCAATCATTTTCAGCCTCGTTAACCAGCATAATCTAATTTAAACTCTGACCAGATCATCACTATGTATATTAGGTGCTTGTTTACTATTTTAATTCATGATTTTGCTAGGTAATGGTTTAATTATTTAGCAAATTTAGTTGCTTTTGGACCAGGGTCCTGAACTGACTTGTAATTACAGTGTTTTAAGGTGTGTTGAATGTTGTTTTGTTTGAGTTCTTTTCATTGCTGTCCTTACGCAATAAAAAGAACTCAAACCGTTTTGAGGTTTCAAAAACGGATAAAATAGTTTCTCAGGTTTACAGAAATGTGGCATTATTAATAGTCTAATACCTGCAAACTTTTTGTTGTTATATCTCTTTCATTGCCTTATTTTACTTCAACTATCACCGTTATTCCTCTGGTGCTGTTGCTCTATCAACACCTTGTTACATTTCCAATTCAGTGGAAGCCTTCCTCCTCACTTGACAACAGAGGAAGCATCTCATGCTGCGGTGTGTATAGCCTCCTGTCAGCTGCTTAGGTAAATCTGTCTGTTTACGGTATTAACAATCAGTTCACGTGGAGTTTCAGAGAAGACAATGACTGTGGATTGAAGGATATAGGAGAACAACATAAAAGCTGTTTTCAGCATGACTTTAATCTATCAGGATATAAACTTCTTCCATTGTACGGAGTTGTACTTGTGTTCTTACTGTATCACCTGTGAAAATCCACCGTAAAGCTGTTAGTCAAGAGTTGAATGTCTCACCTCAACCACACAGCAGCTGCTGCCTGAAGTGAGCTGCAGTGCTGGGCACGCTGGGTGCAGCACCGATACTGTCTTCCTTGGTAAACAGGAGGTTCAACGCCCACTGTAGGTGTTTGCTGCAGTGTGTTCCTATTATGGTATTTATATATTTTCCACAGACCATTGCAGCTATGTTGGGTTAGGCTGAGATACAGCCCCGTGGACCCTGATTATTCCAGTAGCCTTTTTTTTTTCTGGTCCTGGAAGTGTAAAATGTCCTACACTAAATTATTCTCTGTGTGATATTCCAAACATTCTGTTAATCTTTCATTCGGGAGCTTGACTGAAGTTGTCAAAGTGGAGACCTTGTTGGAGAGTTGGTTCAACCTTTTGAAGATTTACAGCACCCTTTCTGAACTTTATGTTCAAATTTATTGCGCCTGGATTCACTTTGGCGGTTCAAAGCGCAGTCCTGGGTATGTGTGTGTTAGTGCGATCGGGTGAATGTGGCTGTAGTGTAAAACGATTTGAGTGGTCAGTATGTCTAGAAAAATGCTTAATAACTCCAGTGCTTTTGTCAAAGTCCGTCCATTTAACCTTTCCCTCATATTAAAGCTCCATGATGACACCCGACTAGACTCGGCCTGATAGGAAATTCCAATTATGTGATAACCTCAAGTAAGATTAACACAGTGTAACGGTAGCAGAAAATGTTTAAGTGAGTGCATAACATGATTACAGAGCTAATTGCTTTTGTTTTTAAAAAATAAAGGTCAACACTTGTGCCTGCAGTCTGTAAAATAATATATAGTGCTGTCCTGGTATTTATGGGGGTTAGTGTGATTAGCTAAAATCTGTGAATATTTGAGACCACTTCTAAGACACTTAATAGTTCAAACACCAAATACACATTAATATGCATTAATACTCACAGTGGAAATCATCTTGGCACTACTGCAGAAGCTAACACTTACTTATATTCGCTCTTAGGGGTATAGCCAATCAGCTCAAAGGAAAATAAATAGAGCTTCTGGATTGGGTGCTTTGCAAACGCCAGCCAATAAATAGCATGTCAAGTAGCATTACACAAAGGTATGTCAGCTTCCCAAGCTAATACAAACTACTAAGTATAATACTCTAAGTATAACAAGCTAATGCAAGATAGCATAAGTGTAGCAGACTAATATAAGCTAACATGACAAGCTAAATTAAGCTAACATAAAAACATGCAGATAGAAGCTAAAATATGTATGACATGCTAATACAACCTAACATAAATGTAACATGCTAATACAAGCTGGCTTTAAAAAGCTATTTTGCTTTTTTTTATTATTATTATTTTTCAGACAATTTTGAATGCAGTGACATCCTCACAGATGGACTCAAGTAAAACCTAAATCTAAAAAAAAAAAACACAGTCTGGACACTTTTGCCATTTCTATGGTATTTCATTGAATTGACTTTAAAAATACTGGTAAAAGAGAATGTTTTAAAACTTTGAAAAACCTGATAAACCCCGATAAAAACAACAACAAACTGGGTGGTACATGCTTACCCTTGTAAAACCATCTGAGTCCTTCTTTCTCCCAGCTAGGAGCCACTGAGATGCTACACTGGAAGAATGGAGGATTTTAATTTTAATGCATATTTAACCTTGGAAAAGACAAGTAAGCAAAGATCTTTATTCCCCCCTTTCTCTTCCATGTTTTTCTACAGAACAAGTCATTTTCTGTGTTTAACGGGCAAAGTGGAAGTTGTGCTCTACTAAAGCCCTTGTCTTGTTATAAGAAGCTATAAACTGAAGTGCTGCAGCACTGCTGGAGCTGGTGATAAAGGCTGCAGTTTGCTTGGAAAGAAGCAGAATATTCCTGTCTGTCACCTCAGCAGCTGCAGGAAAAACTCCTGAACGTTCATCCTGGTGGTGGTCACACCCTGCTCCCTCTCTGCACCTTCATCTCCTCCTGTGTACCTCCTTCTTCTCCTCCTCCTCCCTTTTTTCCCCTCTCACCATGTCACTTTCCACATCACATTCTTACCGTATTCTTTTCCAAATATTAGCTGTTAGCATTTAGAAATGGCTTCAATTTCTACTTTATCTTAAATGCTTCAATAAATTTCTCCACAAGTTTAGGAACAGAGTTTTCTTACCAGAACACAAACCAGTGGAATGTATGATGTTTTTGTTAAAAACTTAGAAATAAAAAAAAAATAAAATAAAAATAAAAAACCACTTTTCAGGGGCTTAATGTGGGTGTTAAAACATGGAGAGAGCGTCTGCACCTCATCCCTCTGCATGTCTCTGTTGGATTGTGTCTCCCCTTGAAATTATTCTCTTTGTCTCTCGCTCTTTTGAGTTTAGTCTCGCTCTCATCTTACCCTTTGCTTCTTCACCCGACGCTCTCATACATACACATTGCTTTTTAATGTCACCCCTCGGGTATATAGTCTGCTGCATACAGCACGCAGTCTTTCCACCTGTCTGGAAACGGCAGACTCTCCACTGGCTTTTCTTCTTGGCACCAGAATTAGATTGTTGGTTTTTGGAAGCTCATCTTGTTTGGAGGCCAATTACAACTTTCAGTTGAGTTAAAAAAAAAAAAAAAAACTGCTGTGGCTCAAATATACATTCATTTTCTAAAGGATGTCGGACATAAATCTTGTTACACAAATAAGAGTTAAAATTTTAGACGTCTCATAATTTTCAAAATATTTTGATTTCTCAGTTCAAAAAAATTAGGTGATTTTGTGTAATTTTTCTAAATAGTTTTTGGGGTTTATTTAAACTGTCATCTAAGAATTAAGTTTTAAAACTGTAAAGAACTTACCTTAGAATGACAATTGAGATCATAAATTAGATTTTTATCATAAGTTTTTCTATGCCTTTAGGTCAGAAAGAATGATTTTAATCTATTTTTTTCTGTCAGCTGTGCCTCATTATATCGAGATTATTAAATTTCAGACTTGTTTATTATCGTACTACGTTTTACTATTTCATGTGATAGACAGCAGGATTTTAAAACATCATTCTATTGCGATAAGGTTAATCATCTCAAAATGTTGAAATAACATGAAATTAAAGAAGTTTAAAAGTGAAATATTTTTCACTGATGAATGTAATGGGATTACTGTTTATTGTTATGGTAAAATTTTCTTTATTTCATTATTTTGAGATGAGATGTTGAACTTGTTAATGGTTTCAATGTGCTATCTTCATTGAGTTTTTGTTGGGATCAAAGTTTCACTAGCTCCATTTCCGACCATCGTTTTGCTACCTGATCTACACATGTTCTTTCCACCTCTCAATCCACTAAAAAAATAAAAAATAAAAACGCCAGACATGATGAAGAGTAAAGGGTGATACTGGGTGGAACGTGAAGACAGCTGCAGAAGCAGCAGGAGTGTACAGTGCAGACAGAAGTGCCACATGACCTTCCAGAGTCCATTTGATCTGACAAATGTGTTGCTCAGCAGAGTCTGATGCAGGCGGCATGTTGAGGACGGTGCACAGCAGCTTTGCTTGTATTTCAATCTTTGAATGAACTGAGTGAAGATTGTGCCACAGAACTTAGGCTACGTCCACACAGCAGGTCTTTATTCCAATTTTTTTTTTTTTTTTTTGTAAATGCATTTATTTTTTGCTGAAATATATTTCTTTTTCATGTGGTCGTTCATACTAATTAAATACCCCCACAATCAGACATCTGTGTGAACAATCCACGGCCCCAGTGGTGACCCATGTACCCAGAAGAAGAACGTAGACGTCAGATAGCAGCGCGCTGTTTACGGGCGTAATAATGGGCGACGCTGTCTATAGATACATTTTTAAATTATTGAACATCTGGAGCTGACAGTTTTGTCAGTTGGGGCTGTGAAAAAGTCGGACATGGGTCGCATTTACCTGTTGTGTAAACGTAGCCTTATACATTGCTCACCTGTGAGTTGAATGCCACGCCACTTTGGTTCCACAATCTCAACTTTGTGCTCTGAAAGCACCGGGCTCGTAGTGTCCATGGATCGACTTAAATGATGTAAAAACATCTGTTCACTGCAGAACTATGATCTGAATGGGGCTCTCGTTTAATATCGAGATAAAAAAAAAATTCAAACCTGTTTTTGCGATGTTAATACAGGATGTCTGCTTTCTCACAAGTCAGTAATTAGATTTAAACAAATTTTATTGCAAAGGCTTCAGTATGTGAAGAAAACAGGATTTCAGGATTGTTTTTGTGTGATATGGAGGGTGCTCCATCTTGTTTTGTCAGGATAAGTTTCATTGTATTGCAGTGTCTCGACACTGTTGTTGCTATTTGGATGGCATTGCCTCATTAGGTGAGCAAGGTTTTAAAAGCAACTTGTCTTAACAGTACGTGAAGCAGCACGTACTGACCGCCTGCTTCTTCTGCTGGGAAATTACATGAATGGAGGCTCTCAAAAGGCCCAGTAATATGCATTTGACCTCAGCTCCCTTTGCAAGGTAAATACTGATCTGCACATTTATTTTTTCACATTCTGCTACAGATGATCCCAGAGAGTTATGACAAGGAGTTAACAACTCAACCACCAACAACCAAAAAAAAAAATATTTTCCCCAGTATAACTACTTTATCTTTTAAAGAGTTTTTTTTTTTTATTGTTTTTGCCATGTACAATAAGAATCTGAAAATAACTTCACTTTTAAAGCAAGTTGTTTTCTGACAGCTTTGTTGCTCCAAACTTAAGGAGACTCGGAAAAAACTCTAAAAATAACCAAAATAAGTAAAAGTAACTTAAAGCAGAGGAAGCTAAGCTGTTGGATCAATAGCTGTGAAACCATCAAGGATTTCTCCTCAGTATGAATGAGGTCAGCCCACCGTTCCTTTCAGTACTTTAGTACTCCTTTCCAATCCAATCAGACCCAATCCTGTTACATCTCTTATTAAATCATAATTCAGTTTCACTGTTGAATTTGCTTAAGCATGCCGTACCTCTTTATCCACTCTGGTTTTATGTTTGCTGACAGAATCACAACTTAAACCACCCAGATAAATTTGCCTTATTCCAAACGCGATCACTTCAGACACATTCTCGCATCCAGGTGTCAACATCTTTTTCTCAAAGTTTGATATTTGCAGTTGTTGTCTTTCTCATCCCCTCCACCATCCATCACTTTACCTGTAATCTATAAATATTCTAGATGTCTGCTTTGATCCGGCTCTCAGATGGTTATGCGCAGTGCTCTTGTGTCGCCTTGTCAGCTGTCACCCCACCTTTCCTCCGCCGTCTTTGCGTCGGAGCCTCGCGCTCCGGAAGCTCGGCGTCGCACCTGTCGGCATGTTCGCCTGCTTTTTTTGAACCCGTTTTCGTGTGTACATGCGACGGTTCTTCCCAGCTCTGATGCTCCGGCTCCTGGGGCCCTCCGCTGGGGCGACGGCGCACCTCAGGGAGCACTTCCAGGTGAGACTAGAGAGGACGGTCGCTTTGTGTGAACCAACTACCCCCC